AAATAGATTTATGCAATAGACAATTATGAAAAACAGGGAGCTTGGTTCAAACAAGGGATATATTGGATATAATATTTTTAGTATCAAAGCACGGTGAAAGAGATGGAAGAATTATAAAGTAGGTCTAAATTTTTTTAGTTGACGCAACTTTGCAATCTCATTATTCTTTTTAGAAATAATAGATTTATGCAAAAGATAATTATGAGAAATAAGGGAATAATATTTTTAGTTCAAAGCACAGTGAAAGATAGAATTATAAAATGGGTCTAATTTTTTTTTTAGTCAGTACAACTTTGCAATATCATTACTTTTTATTAGAAAAAATAAATTTATGCAATAGACAATTACGAGAGAAATGGGGATTTGAGTGAGACAATGAATATTAAATATGATAGTTTTAATATCAAACTGTATTGAGTAAGAGATTGAAAATAAAGTGAATTTAAAGTGTTTTAATTGGTATAACTTTGCAATATGATTACTTTTGTTTAGAAAAATTATATTCTTTAGCAATAAATAATTACAAGAAACGGGAGCGTAAGTAAGATAGGGGATGCAACGACCGCATGAAACCTGCTTCGCGATATCCCGGCTCTGAATAGCCGCGAACTGAGTAAAAACGCGTGTTTCTAAATGTCATCGGCTATATGTGACTCGGTATGCGTTAAGTATGCGCGTTATTGACCGAGCGAATGTATACGTACACGTATAACTAACCAGAGTATGGCCGAGTTTCAACGAAACATCTCCGTCGCAATTTTCCGGATCTATTAATTTTAATGAATGTTTATCAGGAGAAACATGATAAACGGCGACAGTATCTCTTGAAAGCTTTCTCTCCATTCCATACCCTTATAAATGTCCCGCGTGAGCTCATATATAAACGTTTACTTTAGCTTACTTCCTGTCAGCTAAAGTTTACACGTGTAACTACGTATATCTCGAACGTTACACGTGAAAGAAAAAGTTTTTAATTATTTCATTTTTAATTCTTAATCTCTCGAACCTACGATTATATATTCTTTAGTTAATTTCAAGCAGATTTTGCTTACAAATTCGTCACTGGTTCGATTATATAATAATTTGAATAAATAAATATGTATATAAAGCTGTAAGAAGTTGGATGCAATGAATAATTTCTTTAAATTCTCGTAAAGTCAACCTAGTCAAGTAGTCGAGGAATTAATTAGATGAAAGTGGAAGTGGAACAGCTTATTTATGTATTTCGACATAAGCGAGATAAGGATTATATATGCAAATTCATTCGTAAGCTTTCATGTAAAGCTAATATGTTTAATTGATATATGCTTGCAAGCTTCTCTAGTTAAAATTTCGTAATCACGTGAGCTGTAAATTAGTTTCTTAAGCTGTTATAGTTGTTATGTTTCAACGATTGCAGTAGTTAAAATTAGGTTTGGACAGACAGTATAATAGCACGAGTTACCCTTCAAATGTCTATGTGTCTAATTTATATATTCTATAGAAATATATTCTATATATTATATATTCTCTAGAAACATTTGACGTTGATATTGCATAAAATATATAAATACATGTTTAAATTTATCATAAACAATTAAAGCTGTTATCCAATTGCTACAACTTTATATAAACAAATTATTAGTATTCGTCAAAAAAATATGAAAGCATAAAATGTAGTAAATTGTGAAAATATATTGTAATAAAATATTCCGAAATAATTTTTATTTTAAATTGCAAAATGTTTAAGCGAAAAGAAAACAACTGAGAAAACTAAGTATAAAACTAAGTATAAACGAATATTTGAAATTTTAGTAATATTTGAGATATTTAGTAAGATTATCGCTTTTAAATAACTTTATATATAGATATATTGTCGTATGTACTGTAATAAAAATAATGAAGATAAATTCCATAAGGCGAATAAATCAATTAAATAAATGTAATGTAAAAATTTATGTAGAGAGCAGGATGCAAAAAAAACTATGTTTTATTGTGATAAAAATTTTACAAACATAAAAATAATAATGGAAAAAATAATATTTTTTGAAATATATGAAAAACACACACATTTCATCTTCACTTGAATATTCTACAATTTATAAAATCATTCGATAAAAGTTTCATTAAAATTGCATCATTCTTATAATAAACATTTATATGTCAATTTATATGCAATTCCTTTGATTTTCTCGAAAAGAACTTTGAAATAATTTTTTTTTTACAGAACTATCTACATGATTTTATTTTTGCGTGATTTCTTCCATACGATCGTTTTACGATTGCGCGCCTAAAACTCGTGGTCTCGTAGGCAATTCAGAATGATGCTTTTATCGAAGGTACATTAATGAATTTTCATCGTTTCTTAATTCCTTCGTGTATAGATTTCCCGTTATCGACTTACCCGAACGTTTCGTGTTGAAATGACCGTAGAAGCGGCTGAGGTCGATCGCCATGACGGCGCGCGGAAAAGCGGCGCAGGCCGTCAGGGCGATGCCAAGTGCAACCGCACCGTTACAGAATCTCCGTACCATCCTTGCTTCGCGAATGCGTTTACAAGTTAAGAATAGTAAGACAGGCCTTCCTTTATCTTCTTCTTTGCTCTATTGCTGCTGTGACTACAAGTCAAGTTCGGGCTCCCTCTTCCTCTCTTTCTCTTTTTCACTTTTTGCTGGAAAGGGGCTTCTCTTAATTCTCCCTGAAGAAAATCCTTGATTCCTCCTCGCGAACGCGAACCCAGTAATGTATCGTCACCCTCTCGCAAGAATCACCTACTCGCTCGCACGCTCGCTCGTTGATATCTGGTTGTATCTGGTGCGCCACCAATGACCAAGGTGTTGGAGTAACTCCTCGGGGTGGCTCGCGCAAGGTCCCTCGCCCCGAGAGCACTTGAGCACTCCGCTTCAGCTGCGCTGCGTCTGTAATTCTGTATGCGTGGGTGCGAGCGAATGTTAACGGCGCGCGGCGAGGTCGCTCTCACCACCCACTTCGTTCGGCCTTTCTCGGAATCTTTCTGGTCTCTCGCTCCCTCGGAGCCACCACCTCGCTCCCTTGCCACCTCCTTCTCCCACTTATGCCCGTAAGAAAAAGATCCCTTTTGATGGACGCTGCACAGCCACACTGTGAAGTGCGAAGTGCGAAGTGCAAACACAGTACACACCTGCGCCACGCGAACTCACCTGCGCCTGCGGCCGGCTCGCGTTGGTAGGTTGGTACTTGGGGAAGAGGAGGGGGAGGGGGAGGGGGAGGACGAAGAGGATGCGTGGGAGAGACTGGTCGACCAATCGGCCGTTGGGTTACGCTCGATACGGCCAATCGAAAAGCGCGAGATCACAGGTCTACCCTGGAACACCCACGCTTGCCGTTGCGCTCGCATCGATTTCAACCCCTCGTCGCCCAGTGGCGTAAACGAGGGATTGATAATGCATTCAACTACGATGCGTCGGAATTATTAAGATCTTCATTTTTTTTTCACCGTTGATATCTTTTACCATTGCATTAAATTATTATTAATATTTCACATAATCGGCATACTATAATATTTCCTCCTTTCTTTATCTCTCTCTTCTCACCAAGTATGTTTCCTCTTATCACGCTCCGTTCCCAACTCGCTGTTACGCTCCTACTTTCTCAATAGGTAACTTTCGCTTGTCGTTACAAGCGTATACTTTTAAGCGCCCGTGATAATATGTCGACGTTTAGTAATTTTATAGCGAATCCGCTGTTATCTAATTGAGAATCATCGTCATTACTCGACGTCGTGAATAATAGCTTCTCAAATGGCGCGCGATACTTTGGCTGCATCTTCAAATGAGATTGAATAAATAATCGTCACGTAATGTCGAGTAATACCGTTTACTGCAATAGAACATCGCAATATCGATTACTTTCAATCGCAAAGAATGAACGCCCGGAATTTGCGTAGATTATTCAGCGCGATATTCTAAATAAATGAAGATGCGTACTACGTTAAACACAAGAATATATATTCAATATATGTATATTATTACGAAACTGTTAATAATAATTTTGCAATAGTCAAACTCCAGTGATATATTTCTACAATCGAAAAAGTTTATTGAAAATTGAAAAAAAATCTGTTATTTTATTCTTATAAATTCTATGAATTTAACCGTATTCATTTGTTATTTTAATCAAATGTAATTTGACTAATTTTTTCTTCTTTTATCTTTTCTTAACTTTATACATATAGAATAGCACGCGATAAAAAGAAGAGGTACGCATCAATGTTGATAAGAAACTTCGATAAAAAAAAAATAACAAATATATTGTATCCGACCGATAAAAATATAAACGAATAATACAATGTATTTTCTTGATATATTATCATAATTCGTAAAATTTAAGTATCTCAATATTCTAGTGATATATTTCTATCGTCGAAAAGATTAAAATTTATTGATGTAAAAAAATTATTCTTTTTTTATATATGAAATTATTCTATTAAATTAAACAGAAAAAAATCTGTTATTTTATTTTTATAAATTCTATAAATTTTTTAATGTATACATTTGTCGTTTTGACAAAAAATTTTTATTTCTAATTTCCTTTTTTAATCATTTTCTATGAAACAAACGTTCTATTTTTTTATCATAAAAATTTTACTATTTGGTAATTGATTATCATATTGATTATTATATAATTTTAAAACTATTATTTTATATAATTCAACATAATCAACTTCTTCATCGAGACTTCTATTCTGCAATATAAATTTAATCTTATACATTTTTTACTCGAAGTAAACGCAATTGAGCAAAAAATTTATTAATGAAACAGTTCTACAACAGGCTATTAAATTTGCATGCTGCATTGCTGGTGCAAAAATAGGATTGAGAGGATATGATTGCCTTGATATAATTTCTAGTGATATTTTATGATAGAATTTTTTAGAAAATTAGCAGAATATATTATTGAGGTTTTTAATTTAGGCTTATAAACAATTATATTACATATGTAACTACATTTTATATACATTATAT